GCACTCCTTCGTCTACGTCGTCGCCCTCCCCCTTCCCACGTCCCCCATGTTGTCACCCTCCCTTCTTCCATTTCGTTCTCCTTGTCTCATTATTGCGTCTCCTGGGGTTCTCACGTGGCACACATGGACAACATGTGGTATGTCATGGGTTACTGTCGGGTTGTCATGGGGGCCTCCTGGGACACTCTTGAGTCGTATATGGGGCTACCTGGGACATTAGGGGCCCTCTTGGGCCGTCGTGAGTTGCCTGGGGGGTATCTTGGTGCCGTCTTGGGCCGCGTTCGCCTCCATGCTGGTTTTCTTGCTTTGCCTGGGTTGGGTCTTCAGTTACCCCCAACCCCACTAGGTCTGGTACCAGACCTCCCTTCCACCTCCAACAGGTCTGGTGGGATGCCCCCCTTCCACGTCGACCAGACCTCCCAGCGGGCCCTCCTCCGGCGAGGTGGAGGGGGCCTCCACCAGACTTCCTCTGGTTCTCCTGGAGACCTCCCCCTGATCCCCCCGAGGGCTTGGGGAGGCCTTCCGGAGGCTTCCCTTGGTTTCCACAAGGTGTGGCGAGAGGCTTCCCACGGCCCCTGGGAGCACCAGGCGAGGCCTCCCCCAGGCTTCAGGGACGACCAGGGGAGGTCTCTGGGAGGCTTCCCCTGGTTCACCTGGAAGCCTCCGATGAGAGTTCCCGCAGGGGGGGGGTCTCCTGTGGGAGGCTTTCGGGAGGACCAGGGAAGCTTCCAGGAGACCTCACCTGGTCCTCCACCAAGTTTCCCCCCAGCGGCCCGGGAGGACCAGGGGAGGTTTCCAGGGGGCCTCCCCTGGTCTCCCCGGAAGTTTCCCCTTGGAGGGAACCCTGCCAGATTTCGAGGTCTGGGGGGGGCTCCCGGACCCTGGTCCTCGGGGAGGATTCCCAGCAGGCTTGCAAGGACCAGAAAAAACTTCTGGGAGACCTCCCAGCCCCCTTCTGGAAGTTTGCGGGAGGCCCCCAAGAGGACCAGGGGAGGTTCCCCGGCGGTCTCCCCCCAGATTCCAGGAGGTCGTCAGGACACCGCTAGGAGGCTTATTCTTCGGGGCCCTGAGGGCAGTGGATCACCGGATGCAGTGCAGCTACGGTGGCGACGGCAGCAGAGTCGCGTTCAGCCTCGGCGAAACATTTGCCGCGCGTTTCCAAGCTGGGTGGCTGGTTGGGGGCCTCCGACGGCCACGCCGGGACGTTTGAACTTTGGGTCTTTCCGCTCCAAGAAAACATGGTGGACGTAAGGAAACTTCTGGTTCCTTAATAAATGCCCCCCGGGGGGCCTCGATCCACCAAATTTGATCCACCAAATTTAATAAGGAATTCCCGGGGTCCCAAGTAAGGTCCTTACTTGGGTGCCTGGCGGTCCCAGAATTCAGGGCCTTACTTGGGTCCTCGGCGGTCGCAGGTCCCACAGGTTCCACAGGTCCCACGTGTCCCAGATGTCCCACAGGACCCATAGGTCCCACAGGTCCCGCAGGTCTCGAAGGTCTCGCCGGTCCCGCAGGTCCCGCAGGTCCCGCAGGTCCCACAGGCCGCACAGGTGCCACAGGTGCCACAGGTCCCGGAGGTCCCGCAGGTCCCGCAGGTCCCACAGGTCCCACAGGTCCGTCAGGCCCAACAGATCCCACCGGTCCCACAGGTCCCACAGGTCCTACAGGTCTTACAGGTCCCACAGGACCCACAAGTCGCAAAGAAGGTGCCAAAGGTCCCAAAGGTCTCGCAGGTCCTACAGGTCCCACACGTCGTCCCAAGGGTCCCACAGGCCTCGCGGGCCCCACAGGTCCCACAGACCCCACAGGTCCCACATGTTTCACATGTCCCATAGGTTCCGCAGGTTCCGCAGGTCCCGCGTGTCGCGCAGGTCTCGCAGGTCCTGCAGGCCCCGCAGGCCCCGCAGGTCCCGCAGGTCCCACTGGGTCCCACAGGTCCCACAGGTCCTACAGGTCCCACAAGCCCCACAGGTCCCGCAGGCCCCACAGGATCCACAGGGTCCGTATTTCCCACAGGTCTCGCAGGTCGCGCAGGACCCGCCAGTCCCGCATACTCCATAGGCCCCGCAGGCCCCGCAGGTCCCACAGGTCCCACATGCAGGTCCCGCACGTCCCACAGGTTCCGCAGGCCCCACGGGTCTTACAGGTTTTAAAGGTCTCGCAGGTCCCGCATGTCCCGCAATTCCCACAGGTCCCGTAGGTCCCAGAGGACCCATAGGTCCAACAGGTCCCACAGGACCCGCAGGTCCCGCAGGTCCGCAGGTGCCACAGGTCCCACAGGTATGAATGACCCCACAGGTTTCACAGGTTCTCGCAGGTCCACCGGTCGCACATGTCCCGCAGGTCCCGCAGCTCTCACAGGTCCCACAGGTTCCGCAGGTCTCCCAGGTCCCTCAGGTCCCACAGGTCCCACAGGCCCCCCGGGTCCCACAGGTCCCGCAGGTCCGACAGGTCCCGCCGCCAGCACAGGTCCCACGAGTCCCACAAGTCCCGCAGGTCGCGCAGGTCCCACAAATCCCGCAGGCCCAGCATATCCCACATGTCCCACAAGTCCCACATGCCCCACATGTCCCACAGGTCCTACAAGTCCCGCAAGCCCCGCAGGCCTCGTAGGTCTGGCAAGTCCCGCAGGCCCCGCAAGTCCCAGTCCCCCCAGGTCCCACATGCCCCGAAGGCCCCACAGGTCCCACAGGCCCGATAGGGCTTACAGGTCCTACAAGGGCCACGGGGTCCGCAGGTCCCGCAGGTTCCGCAGGACCCGCAGGTCCCACAGGTTTCGCAGGTCGCGCAGGTCCCGCATGTCCCACACGTCCCACAGGCGACGCATGCCCCACAGGCCCCTCAGGCCCTACAGGTCCCACAGGCCCCACAGGTCCACCCAGCCCCTCCGGTCCCACAGGTCCCACAGGTCCCACATGTCGCGCCGGTCCCGCAGGCCCCGCAAGTTCCGCAGGTCCCACGGGGCCTACAGGTGCCACAGGCGCCACAGGTCCCACTGGTATCGCAGGTCCTGCAGGTCCCACAGGTCCTACGAGTCCCTCAGGTCCTACAGGTCCGACAGGTCAGGCAGGTGTCGCAGGTGGCGCAAGCCCCGCAGGTCCCACAGGTCCCACAGGTCTCGCAGGGACGACAAGTTTTGCAATTTCGAAGGCCCCACAGGTCCCACCAGGCCCACGCGTCCCACAGGTCCCAAGGGTCCCACAGGTCTCGCAGGTCCCTCAGGTCCCACAGCTACCGCAGCCCGCACAGCTCCCACAAGTTCCACAGGGCTCACGCTCCCAACATTTCTCCCAATTCCGGCAGGTTCCACAGGTCCCGCAGGTCCCACAGGTCACCTTTGGTGTTATTAAGATGGTTCCTGGGGTGATGTTTGCAAGGCGAAGGCGCGTGTAATTGCATGCGCTGCGCGCAGTGCAGAGTGAACCGTGAGTGCAAGTGCGAAACGCTGCCATGTAAATTTGGGATTGCGCCCGTCCTGGAATCTTTTTGTGAACTTGCGGTTGCGGTGGTTTCCATCGTGGTCATTCGATGCCCCTCGCTGCCCGTACTGGTTCCGCGGTCGCCTTCGTTCGCTGCCCTTCGTGGCCCCGTTGCTGCCCTCGGTGGCCCCGTCGCTGCCTTTTGTGGCTCCGCATTTTACGCCCTTCGTGGCCCCCGCTCGCACGCGCCCGTCGTGTCCCCATACGCATGCCCTTCGTAACCCCGCTGTCGCCCTTCGTGGCCCTCTCGCTGCCCTTCGTGGCCCCTTTGCTGCCCTCAGCGGCCCTGCTGTCGCCCTCTGTGGCCCCGTATACGAATGAATGCCCTTCGTGGTCCTCGCTCGCTGGCGCCCGTCGTGGCCCCATATGCATGCCCTTCGTGGCCCCGCTGTCGCCCTTTGTGACCCCCTCGCTGCCCTTCGTGGCCCCGGTGCTGCCCTCAGCGGCCCCGTCTCTGCCCTCTGTGGCCTCGGATGTGACGTCCTTCGTGGCCCACGCTGGCTTTTCTCACGATTTACTTGGGAATCGCGCTATCGCTCGAGTCTTCCTCGCGATTCATGCATGACCCATGCTTCAGCAACCCGCCTGCTCGACCTCGTCGCCTGGGCCTGCCTTCCCGACCTGCCCGCCATGGGGCTGCCCACCCGATTTGCCCGTGTAGTTCTACCACTTGTTTTCTGTTCCTTGCCCTCTCCTGCTAATTTCTCTCGTGCTCCATTCTCCTTCCTCCCCTTACACCCGTCCTCTCTTCCCTTGTTTGAGGGACTGCAGTAAATACGCGTGGCAGGTATGGAAGGTATACCCCCAAGGGGGTACGATCGAAGACGACGAGGGCGGGTACCGAGGGTTTGGGATATACGTATTGATTGGCACGTGAGCAGATATAAGCGAACAGTCTTAAACTATTGTTGCTGCTGTTGTTGTTGTTGTTGTTGTTGTTGTTGTTGTTGTTGTTGTTGTTGTTGTTGTTGTTGTTGTTGTTGTTGTTGTTGTTGTTGTTGTTGCTGCTGCTGCTGCTGTTGTTGTTGTTGTTGTTGTTGTTGTTGTTGTTGTTGTTGTTACGCTTTGTGTTCCGCCTTCCTCCGCGGCCGCCCACCCCTTCGCCTTCCCCGCCTCGGGGTGTGCAATACTTTGCTTCACAGCATAGCCCCGGGCTTGCCCAATCGATCTGCGCGAGCGCTAGTTCCGCGACAAGAGACGTGCTGTTGTGTTTTGTTTGATTGTCGGATTCCCGTGTGAGAGAATGTGGCGGCCATGGACTGGTGGCAGCTGGTTCACGTCACAAACATTGGGGGATGCGCGCCTCGGCATGCGCGTCGTCCGCCGTTTCGAACCCAGTGCTCTTGCTCTGCGATCCTCCCGCTCCTCCTCGATCTTCCTCCCTCCTCCCTTTTCCTTCTCGATCCTCGACCCTCCTCGCTGATCCTCGATCCCCCTCGACCCTCGACCCTCTCTAAGATGCCCCCGTTCGGTCCTCGATGCTCCCCGAGCCGCCTCCGTCGCCGCTCTCGCGAAGCCGAGGTCCTGAGCTTCCGCGAGCCAGGCCAGTGCGAGCGCCACCAGTGCATGTCCGCGCGCCGCGACGAGTGCCGAGATCACCTGGAGGGCTACTACCTGAAGGACGAGCCTCGGCTCGGGACGGTCTAAGTGGGCACGAAAGGATTTGTTGCGATGCCCAACAGCAGCTCCTGGTCATTTTGAGCAGGACTCGCTGTCCGCGCCGTCGCGGACGTCATCCATTTGAGACAGGGGGTCGCCTGCCCAACAGCGGCCGCTGTCGGTTTTGGACAACATTCGTTGTTGGGCATCGTACCCTCTTTCTTCGTATTCATTTCGGGCGTCCTCATTGGCGTTGTCGTTTCCGCCGTCGTTGCCGTTGTACGCGCGGCTCGACCAGTGCCGATACCACGGGTTGAGCTTCTACCTGGAGGACGAGCCTGGGCGTCGTTGTCTTCGCCGCCGCCGCGGTCGTCACTCAATCAGAGCGCATGTCCGCGCGGCTCGACTGGTGCCGAGGTCACCAGGTGGGCTACGATCCGAAGGACGAGCGAGTCTCGGCGTCGTCGTCTGTGCTGCCCCCGCCAGGCAGGCCCCTTCGCGCCGTGGAATGATCCACGGAGGGAGCTTCTTTGGTACGCGTCCGATTCCTGTAGGGCCGTCAACAAATCCAGAGTTCGGCCCTCCTCTTGGGGGCCTGACCGCCGGTGCCGCCGACCCTGAAAAACATCGACGACGACTAGGAGGGGGAGGAGGGGAGATAGAGGAGGAGGAGGAGTCGCAGAGGAGGAGGAGGAGGAGGAGGAGGAGGAGGAGGAGGAGGAGGAGAAGGAGGAAAAGGACTCCCCCCTGGCCCCCCCCTGGGGAGGAGGACCGGAGGAGGACCATCGTGGGAGACGGGAGGGGAGGGGGAGGAGGACCCCCAGGGACGAATGCGTATCTGACTCCCCTCCCCCCCCCCGGGACTCCTCCCCACCTGGGGAGGAGGACCCGAGGAGGACCAGCGCACCAGAGAAGGGAAGGACCGGCGTGGGAAAGGAGGACCCCCAGAGGCGATGCGAATCTGACCCCCCCCCCTCCCCCGGGCCCCCCCCCCGCCGGGGAAGGGACAAAGGGACGGGGCTTCCCTTTGACGTAATGAGGACGTGGAAGGAATTCCCTCAAGCTGCGAACCCGTTCCCCGAACGAGGAAGGGTGCTCTCTCTCTCTCTCTGTCCCACGACGGGAGAGGAGGATGGGAAGGATGGCACGAAAGAAGGCTCCGCGTCGACGGGACTGGCCAGACACCCCACACACGCCGACAGGGTCGGCGGATTCTCCCTTGTATGGTCCGGGGCCCAGCAAGGGTCCCCGAGGGCCGAGGATGGCCGAACATTTTCTTCCGCCGCGATTTCTTCACGGCGCAAGGCTGCCAGGGAGCACGGGTACCAATGAGCAGTACACGCCGTCGGTGGGGGCGAGCCCGGTGGCCACGGGAGGGCCCAGCTTGGGGGCGGCAGGAGGCCTCGTGGCGTCAGGCGGGCGTCGGCTGGGTGGGCTCCCGCGAGCGTCTTGGCGCTCGAAGGGGGCTCTCTCGTCAGAGGTCTGACATCGCAGCTCTCTGGGCCTCCCAGACGGGATTAGGCTTAGTCGGGCCTGTCCCTGTTCAAAAATAGTCAAGAGATGCTCAGGGGACGATTTTTTACCATTCTTGAATATTTGAGTTTGTTTCGTCTAAAATCCTCCTGTAGGGGGACATGCCCGACCTAAATCTAGACCTCCCAGACGGGCTTAGGTGGGGTTTGGAGGATCGCGCCGCACCGCCGATGCATCGCCGATGCGTCGCCGATGCGGCTCGATGTGGGGCCCAATTTTTCCCGCGCCGACGTCGCCGAAGTATCGCGGACGTTGACGTTGCATCGCTGGTGCTTCGGGGATGCGCGCGATCCTCCGACCCCATGTGTTCGGACTCCACGTCGACCCAAACGTCCCCAAGACGGTCCCAGATGGTCCCCCAAAGGCTCCCAAAACCGCCTGTGAGGGCTCCAAGCAAACGTTCAAGAGGGCCCCGACAAGCCAAATCATGTCATTGCTTCGCGAAAGCGTGCGTTTCAACACGTTCGCCTCTGCGGTCCTGACCGCGTTCAAGCCCCTAAAGTCGCCCCGCGACGGCCCGCGAGGCCGCCAAGATAGCCAGAAGACGGCCCAAGAGGCGCCCTAGAGGGGGAGCTCCAACTGACATTTCCCCACGAGAGTCCCCATGCGGCCCTGGGGGGCTCTGGACGGCTCCGAAAGCTTCCAGACCAGCCCGCTTTGGGGATGCCCCATGGAGCCCAAGATCGCTCCCAGTGCGCTCAGGCCGCCGTCCAGGCGGCTCCAGAGGGTCCCCAATTGCCACCAAGAAGGCCTCGCGGAGTGTGAGACGGTCCAAGAGAGCCTCAAAGCACTTCAAGAGACGCTCAAGACAGCCCCAGAGGGCCCCAGGAGATCCCCTGGACGCCTCCGTAGAGCCAACAACGTTAAACAGCTTGAGGGGCATCTAATTTTTCTGTTTGCCTCCGATGAGCTCCTCAGGCTTCGAATTCGCCTCTCAGAGGCTACCAGGAGGCCCCAAGACGCTCAAAAAAGCACTTGCAGGCGCCAACAAACCCCAACCCGAGAGGTCCCAAGAGGCACGAGGCCCCCGAGAGATCCCCAAAGGCCTCCCAGAGGCCCCTAGGATTTCCCAAGAGACCCCCAAGAGGCCCCACAAGCCATCAAACAGCCTCCAAGAAGCGGCCGATGAGCGTCTACTCCGGATGGGGCAATAGTCGCCCCCCCTGGATCCGCTGGCGGGGTTGGGCACGTACTGTCGAAACTTGTTGGAGGGGGGGTTCGAGGAAGATGAGGAAGATGAGGAGGGGGAGGAGGATGGAGGGGGTCGGGATTGGGCAGACTCAGTCAGAAGGTTATAATCACCCCCCCTGGATTAAAAAACACCCAGAGTAAGATGGGTCCAGGTGGTTTCAACTTCATTCCCGAATGAATTCCTGGGGCCCTGGGCTCTGGGAGCATGTCCAGAGTTGTGTGAGCGCGCTATGGGATGCGTCAGATGCTCTAGAAGCTTCACCTTCTAGACTGCCCAGGCGACTGCCAAGATGGACGATGGGGGTCCTAGAGGCTCCAACATGTTCTCAATACGGTCGATCAGAAGGTTCCAAGAAGCCCCCACATCCATCAAATGAGAGGCAACCTTCAATAACGCGTCACGTCTTTGTCGAATCTGACTCCACCTTTCGCTCGAGGATGGCTCCAAGAAGTCTTCGGAGAAGTCGATGCGCATCCCAAGAGGCCCTCAAAGGGACCTTGCCGTAGATGGCCGCAATATGGATTTTGAGTGCCCCGAGAGAGCCCTGGCGGGCGCGTGTCTATTGTATGGTTGCTTTACCTTGATCTGCTCCACGTGGTTCTGCTGTCCACCCTTGTCGACTGTACGTCTCTGATCGGCTGCGTTCGTGTTGCCTCTTCAAGTTCTGTTCCCTCTGTAAGTCATGCCCAACACCTGTTCAATCATATGACCCCCCTCCCCCCGGATCCCGACTGCTATCAATTAGCCAAAGCACACCTGTAAAATGTTCTAGAGAACCCAAACGATGCGATTGACATATACAACCATGTTTGTGTTTGTAAACGTGCACACATACAACATACACACATACACACATACACACATTCGAAAGAGCGCGTTCTGTGGTCGCTTGGAGGGCGGGGGCGTTTTTGAAAGCGGACCACCCCCCCTGGATGGAGGGGGGGGGGTTCGACCCCCCCCCCCTTGACGGAGGGGGGGAGGGAGGGTTTCGAACCCCCCCCCGTCCCTTCATCCCCTGCTTCCCCTCCTCTCCTCGGGCCGGCGCTTGCGTCGGCGGCGGCTGGCGGCGGCGGCGGCGGGGACGACGATTTCTTTTCCTGGGCCGGCGCCAGCGCCTGCGGCGGCGGGCGGCGGCGGCGGCGGGGAGCGTTGACGAGGACGGTGGTGGTGGTGGTGGTGGTGGTGGCGGTGGAAGCGGTGGTGGTGATTGTGGTGGTGATTGTGGTGGTGGTGGTGGTGGTGGTGGTGTGGTGGTTTGTTGTGGTGGTGGTGGTTGTGGTGGTGGTGGGGTGGTGGTGGTGGTGGTGTGGTGGTGGTGGTGTGTGGTGAGGGTGGTGATGGGTGGTGGTGTGGTGGTGGTGGGTGGTGGTTTGGTGGTGGTGGTGGTGGGTTGTGGTGGTGGCGGTGGTTTGTGGACGGGTGGTGCTGGCGGTGGTGGTGGTGGTGGTGTGGTGGTTTGTGGTGGTGGATGTGGGTTGTGCTGCTAGTAGTGGTGGTGGTTGTGGCGGTGGTGGTGGTGGGTTGGTAGATTATGGTGGTGGTGCTGGTAGTGGTGGTGCGTTTATGATGTGGTGGTGGTGGTGATGGTGAGTTGTGGTGGTGGTTGTGGTGGTGGTGGTTTGTGGTGGTGGTGGTGGAGGTTGTGTGGTGGGTGGGTGGTGGTGGTGGTGGGTTGAGCTGGTGGTGGTGGTGGTAGCGGTGGCGGTGGTGGTAGTGGTGGTAATCGTCGCTGCGTCTCCGCCGTCGCCGGCGCCAGCGCCAGCGCTGCTGGCCGCCGCCGGCGCCAGGGGGGGGGGGTCGAACCCGCCAGCGCTGCTGGCCGCCGCTGGCGCCAGGGGGGGGGGGTTGAACCCCGCCCCCCCGGCGCTCGGGGTGGTGGTGGGGGGTTTAACCCCCCCCCTTGGGGCTGCCTCTGGTCGTCGTCGCTGCGTCCCCGCCGTCGGCGCTGCTGGCGGCCGCCAGCGCTGGCACCAGCGCTGGCGCTGGGGGGGGGGTTGGGGAGGGGGGGGCTTGGGGGGGAGAGAAGTCCCCCTGTTTTTGATCGACGGCGCCGAATGTTGGGGAGGGGCCCGCTCCCCGCTTCGAAACGCGCCGCCGAATGTTCCCAAGGCAAGCGCCCGTGAAACGCGTTCTCTCAGACACTCATACATTCAAACAACCAAATACATATAATATACATATACATAACCGTATACATATGCACTTACATCTACGTCAACGTATACGTATATATACATGTACATCTAACTTTACATGCACACATCCATATACATAGAATGCACGTATACGTACGCAC